GTGTGTGTGTGTGTATGTGTGTGTGTGTATATATATATATATATATATATATATATCAATTAATAAAAAATTGTCATCGCAAGGAAATGCATAAGCATACCTGATGTTTCCCGGGCTAAAGCAGGGATGAGTGATCACATACAATAGGTCAGTCTCCAAATGCTCTGTATCTCTGAAGTGCAGATGGTTCTGAGTGATGTAAACAACCTCTGTTTCCTTAACCGTGATGGAGCGAACCGTTCCGGAAACTTCCTCAGGCAACTGGTCCTTCACTGGAAACACGTGGATTACCACAGTCTATGGATGAAGAGGTACAGACCAAACACTTCTGTTATAAATATTCACACTGAAAAGGAATTTGTTATGAAAACAGATACAAAGTTACATGTCTGTCCGATAGATTCGGAGGCTGATGGACATCTGAGAGGATGCAATCAAAAGAGTCCTCAAACACTTCCTCCCCTGAGTGCTTATAGTAGATTAGACCTTGAAACAGGTCCCTCTGCAGGAAGCTCTTCACTGGGATACCTGGTTGACATGACACCATATAACGTAAGGCACGTCAGATGAGTTAAAAATCTTTAAGAAATATAACCTTTTAAATCCAACTGACCTGGTTGCTGTGGAGAGGACTTCTTAACCAGCTGTCCTACTCTGGGAAAAGTAATCAGCTGATACTGAATATAGTCGTCACTGGAGTCCAAGTCTGAGGCCATCAGCATGTACTCCTCCACCCTAACCATGCCGCCTTCTTGGACCTCAAAGGCCACGTTATTGATTAGGAAAGGAGGGGTGTCATCTTTCGGAAGAACATAGATGGGAAATTTGTGTCTGATGCTGTGGCGGCCATCTGTGATTCGGAAGACAATGTAATCCCTGGTGGTGTCGCTGTCTGAGTGATGGTAGACCACGATGCCCGCTCTGAGATCCTTGACCTTAAACATGAATCCTTTTCCACCTTTGGATGAATAAGAAGGATTGGTTACAGTATACGGTTTTGACCTGTTTGAATGACGAATGAAATTCCAGGTCAAGTTAAAAGGATAGTTCACCCAAAAATGAAAACTCTGGCATCATTTACTCACTCTCATGTCATTCCAAATCTGTAAGACTTTCGTTCTTCTGTGAAATACAAAAGAAGATGTTTCGAAAAATGTCTGAGTGCTTATGTTGCTGTTTTGGACCCCACTGACTTTCATTGTATGGTCAAAAACAGCTTTCAGGTGAATGATCTCTTTAAGTCAAGTAGTCAACATAATTTGATAGTATTTTCAAACTCAGCTATACTATCATTTGCAATATCATTCATTTGGCTCGATGCAATTGTGAAAAATAAGTTTTGTTTTTCGCCTGAAGGCACAAACGTTGGCTCTGGCTTCTCCCTATTGCAGAAAAATAAAAAGAAAGATGGCGTCCTTCCCAGGCAATGGCTGCTGCCCACCATGAAGCTGAGCTTCTCCTGCTTGCCAGGGAGACAGAAGGGCAAGGCCACCAGACAGATTGAATGATGACTGGTTGCACAGCAAACCTAATTAGCAACTTTATCAGGGGGAAACGGCCACAAGTCCAATGGAGAAACAAGTAAGTAATTGGGCCCAAAGGTGGCTGTGGGCAGCAGGCCCAAAAAAACAGTCTCCATATAGATACTCGATGGAAGAGGACATTGGGCAGCAGCTTTCCATTTGGCCGAAGGCTGACTGAGGACTCTCCCAAGGGTCGGAGTCCCTGAGTTAGAGGTCTACGTGAACAATTCCCAATCCCCATCTAGGTTCTCAAGAGAGACCGGTCCATTTCTGGGCCAGAACTTGCTGTTCAGCTCAATCATCCTGTAGTAAAATGAAGTGCTTTTGAAGTGGATTTGGAGCCAAAGTTATGGGACGATTCAGCCAGAGGGATCACAAAGCGACACGTCAACCCCAAAAACATAAACACCATTAAAATGAACGGTTTGGCTTAAAGCAGGAGCTGTTGTTTGAGTAGGCTTGAGGCTTCTGCTGATCAGGCAGTCTTCTGTCAGAGAATGACACAAGGAACAAAGCCATGGGCCTGGAAATCCTCCAAACCAGGAAACACAAAAACAACCTACCACAGCTTCCATGAAAGAACACATACAGCAAAACATCCCTTTCAATTCCTGAAATCACAATTCGGCCTTTCCTTCCAAGAAACCAAGGATTTAGAAGAATAGTTCACCCAAAAGATTTTGCTTGACCTCATGTCATTCTGAACCTGTTTGACATTCTTTTTTCTTTTGTGGAACACATGATGTTGTTATGAAAAATGTTGTATTTGAAGTACCTTCTTTTTGGGTGAAGAACTATTCCTTAAATTCCATATTCCCATGGATAAAACATTCCCATGGATAAAACTTTTCAGATAGACACATGATTGTCACCAGTTCTCAAAGCTTGCTAAGATAATGGTCTGATGGAAGAGAAATGACCTTGTGTTGGACATCTGGCGTGAAATGCCATAAGTCTTTCCAATCTGCTTCTTTCAGGGTCTGTGCAAACAAAAGTCTGCTGAAGTGGAAAGACAGCCGCTACGGCTCTAAAGACATCTTTGGTCCACAGCCCCTGGCAAAGTGTCGCCGAAGCATTTTACACCTGATTAGCAAACCCATGCAGGCCACCCGGACATATGTTTCTTGAATGATGCCCACATGAAGGATGGTTACCACATGGACGGAGAAGGAATAAAGAGTGGGTTTACACTTTATGAGACTTACAATGACACATCAGTGGAAAAAGGTCCTGGAAATTACATTTGGATTGGCTTTTACTTTCAGAGAGGTGACCGATTAAATTCCTTTACCTCTAACACTTAAGTGTCCATTAAGTGGTCCGTCCATAGCTATCAGGGTGACGGCATCTATGTTGTCGTTAATTTGCCCGTCAAAAGTTTCCTGTACAGCAGTTTACCATTTCCTAACCTCATAGTTCCTCCTGGCTGTGTGACTGCTGTTTGGGGGCTGATAGGCAATTTTCATCTCATTCAGGTCTTGCCATGAGAAGGAGAATGCAGTTTTGGTGTGATCGTCCAAATGAGTAATATATCCCTCCGCTGGAGGTTTGGTCACGTTGAAGATGAGCTGGGCCTGAGGGGTCTCGTCATCTTTGGCATCCAGGGCAGCAGTGGTCATGGGGGTGAGGATGAACTGATCTACCTCCAGGATGAACGTAGGCATGAAGGCAGCATTGGGAGGTTGGTTCTGCATGGCCCCTTGGATCAGTACCGGTATCCAGATACTCTCAGTCTAAGAGAGAAGAAGGTAAATAGAAGATTCAGTGCCTTGTTTTAATGATTTCATACAAACCTGATTCTGATGGCGTTTTACCTCCAGCATGGCTCGGGAGGTCTGGTCCCTGAACTCCACCCTGATTGGGATGTAATCAATCTCAGGTGATGGAGGACTGAGGTGCTGGTACTTCAGACCTGATGTGAGGAACTCGGCACAGTCGGTCTTCAAAAACTCTACTTCCCTTGTGTTGTGGTCACAGGCTTTATTTCCTGGGCAGGCGATTCCAGTATGACGTCCTTGAAAAGTTTGAATGCAGATGAGAGGTTCTTAGAAATGGAATTTTAAAAAAAACTTTCACTCCAAATTGCCCTACAATTGTCATATGGTGTAACCATTAACTAAATGTTAACATATTTTCCTCCATATTTTTATACTAATGAATATATATTATAGTATAAGTTCATTTTTTAAACAAATGTCATGATTATTAATTCTGAAAAAATATTACATTTTTGGGAGTCCCACCACATGACATTTTAGTGTACATTTTAATAATTATTTTCAAAGATGTTTTAAAATAGATATTTTCAAGGTAATTTTTTTTTTACAAATATCATGAATTATGAATTCATAAAAATGATTGTTTTATGGTGTTTTCAAAAACATTTTGAATATATTTTTCAAAGTAAAATGTATTTTTTCAAATACCGTGAACTATTGATAAAAAATTATTATGTTTTTGGGGAGTCAGAGTCGCACAAGATGACAACCTGAACTAACTTTGCCTTGTCATAATAAGGTCAAATTATCTGATTGACCTTGAGGGTCCTGTTTCTTTTCTGTACATTGGTTGCACCACATGATTTTGTCTGTTGCACCATATGGCTGTGATTTGACACACAAATGCTTTTAAAAATCTTCATTATATACTTGGTGTACCTCTTCTCGGTCCAGGCTCAGAAGCCGGCATTGATTCAGGATCCTCAACGACCAGTTGACCAAGCATTGGGACATTGATCTCAGAGCTGAGAAGACGTACCGTGCAGATCACATCAGGCTGGGTTTTAAAGGTAAGGACACTGCTATTGATGGCATTGGAAAGGCTGTAGAACTCAGAAACCACCAGAGGAACATTTCCAAGCTCTGTGAGGCTCCTTTGAGGTTCTACTACATGTATCTTCAGCAGCACAGCCTCAACAAAAGTCTCAGTTTCTGTAAACCTAAGTACAAACAAAGAAAAAAGCATTTGTGAGTATGGAAATTACATTAGGCCTTGGAAATAGGGTTTTTGCAGCTCCCAAAAGCCCTAATTGAAGTACCAGCTGTAACATGTTGGGGTTGGACAAGATTAATGACCACACAATGTTTCACCTGTAGACCCTCAGCATGACAGTGTCCTCCTCTAGAAGTGGGCTGCCATTGTGAACATACTTCACCTCGTCGGGAAAGAACTGGCAGTCAAAAACCTGGAAAATGGTACAACAACAATTATTCTCACATTTTATATAATACATATGCTAATTCTGGATTTGTTTTGTTACCTGAGGAGTGAGTTTCCCCACTCTTTGCGTGATAGGCTCGGTAAGAACTACTTCGACCTTACAGGCCTCAGATACCCCGTCGATGTGCAACTGAAGTTCACCAGCCGTGACAAACACCGACTGGCCTCTGGCTACCCGAAGCCCTGTGTTTAACCGAACTAGACTTGAAGCTTGGACATGTGGCCACAGGTGACTCAAGGTGAACAGTGTCAAAGCAAAGACGTCCACCCCCATCTTTTTGTTCAGTTGCTTGGTATCCAAGTTTATTCGCTTCAGATGAGCTTCTTGCTCTCATTTCCAACAGTATGCTGCATGAAAATGAGGAAAATAAACCAATAAAGAAGTATTAAATAGTACAAATCTTAGGTTCATGACTATTTAAGAACAATAATAGACAACAAAGTTTACCTAAAATGGCACAATTGACCCTTCACAGCAGTTTGATTGACAGGCGATCTAACCAATCATAATGCAGAATCTGCCATTTTTGTCCGATAAACAAACCAGACCGGACTTAGACTAACGTTGGTGGACTTTAACTTGTAAAATGGTGTGTATTGACGTCTTTCCGCGGTTGAAACAAGATACCTTTCTGATGTTCATTCATGTTTATTGCATGCTATAACTAGTAAAGAGAAAGAGATGGTCGGTTCATGTGCTGCTTTAACTGAGGTGCTACAGCGATCTTTCACGACACATTAAAGAGCCACAAAACTGTATTTATTGTTTGAATTTCTTAAAAAAATGACAAAATTTGAAAGCGGAAATTTTATTTCATACCAAAAGTAACCTGCTCTGTCTTGTTTGTCACAGTTGTCAGTTTCCTCTTTGCTTCGTGATCTATTTTTCACTAAACGAGAACATGATGTGTGGCATGAGAGCCATGGCTTGTCGGACATAGCAACAGTAACTAAGGGGGAAGGGTCAATTGGACCTGACGCAAGGATAGGGACATTCTATGTCTCTCACCTATGTCTCGGGAACCTATGTCTCTCACCCTTTACCAACAAATGATCTATTATAAAAATTATACATAACTAGAGATCAGCAATTCATTTGTTGTAGAGACTACATAAGCTGATAAAAGGTTTAAAATAATAATACATTTTTTGTACTGGCCAAAGTGCGCGTTCAGTGCTGTTCGCGAGAGTCATGACAGCAAACTGGTAATGTAGAGCTAATAAACTCAGATTCAAGCTGCTAGGTAGCTTGTTTGTGGTAATAGCGAAAAGAAAGATTTTTTGAACAGCAGAAAGTGTAAAAGTATGTAAAAAAGTGACAGGACTGAAACTTTGTTTTATAGAAGATGGTGTTCTCCTGTGCCAAGAGTCAGTATGAAACATTTCGCCAGTTACTTTCGCTTTTTCCGTGCAGCCTTCAGCGGGTGGGACTGTTAGCGTTATTAATAAAGGAACGTGAATGAATGAGACAGTAAAGAGCGGGACATTCTTGATATTAAAAAGACAGACAGTATTAAAAACTAAAAGCCGCGAAATGGAACTTAATCTGCTTCTGACTGGATAGTTTCTGCGCGCGAGGTCCGAGTGGAACACGGAGAAGCATAGACTTTAGCCCCGTTCACACCAAGAACGATAAATATAAAGATAACTATAAAGATAACGTTATTAGCGTCCACACCAGCGAACGATATCGTCAGTTTATTCTAAGCGCACATGCGTCTGCCACTTTAAATTCTCGAGCTCGTGATAGCAGGATGGATTCTGACTGGCTGTCAATGTTTGTATCGTGCATCAGCTGGAAAAAATTGTTCTGAAAGTGATTCCAATGATATCGTTTCTCTGTGGCTTTATCGTTATAGCTGTGGTGTGGACTCTGCTATTCTTTAATATTGAGAACATTTTTAGAACTATATCTTTCAATTGATTGCTTCTGTTGTCCTCATTTGTAAGTCGCTTTGGATAAAAGCGTCTGCTAAATGACTAAATAAAATAAATAAATATCTTTATTGTTATCTTTATAGTTCCCTTTCATGGGAACTTCAAACTGCGTCCTCTAGGGGTCGCTACGGGGAACGCCTCGTCGTGACCCGTGTCTGAAGCATACATTGAAAAAACACCAACTCGTTGGCCGGCGACAGCCATGACGTCACTACCGGTGCGACTATAGTATAAATAGGCGCCGGGAGCACACATCATTCTCTTCTTCGTCTTCATTGACTGTTTTGTTTGAAGCGTGCATTTCTGTGGTAAGAGCGATCTCTATTCATATCATTATGGCGAGCACTAGCAAAG